ATTATGCACCCCCCTGCCAGCAACCAGAGAGAAGAGGACATAAAAATTAAAAGAGATTACAAATATGCAAAATCCTATCAATATACCACCAGCAACTAGTACAAGATGGCGTCAAGGACCTGCCACTGAATTGTCCCATAGAGTAGAACTTTTCCACTCCAGTGGAAAAGTTCAGGTGTAGCCATGGCTTCTGGAAGGCAACATGCATCCCTCTTCAGGAAGACAGAGGGAAGCTCGAATATACAGATGCTTCACAAAACATTGCCATACCATGGGTGATTATATAGTTACAACAACCTAACATCTACTAAGAAAAGACTCACATAATGTGAAGAAATAAGCAGTTTGCTTCTATCATCATGAATATCAAAATAACGCTTCTCTTAAAAAAGCCAACTCAATGAATACTGGAGATAGAGAAAACCAGAAGAAAGATAATGGCGTGTAGTGGTTTGACAGCTATAAAAGAAGATGCAAATGATGAAAGAAACAAGGGAAGACATTACGGCAACAAATACCCTATAGAGAAACTGATCCACAAGAAATATTTTGATAAAGAGCAACTTGAACAGCTACAGAAAAAAAGAAAAACCCACAAGAGATGGAAGAAAGAATTGATAGTATAGATAAAGAGGTACAAGAACTTAAAAAAATCATCACAGGACAGAGAGGCAACATTCAACACAGTACTGGAAAAATGCCTGAGAATGCAATCCAAAATATTAACACAGAAATGGCCGAAGTGTCCAACTTGCTGGTGGGACAAAAAAGTAGAACTGAAGAGATGAAACAGAGTCAGTGAGACAAGAATGTCACTGGAAACAAAGTAGCAGAAAAATCAGAGATGATATGTAAAGAAAATGAAGAAAACACTACGATCATATGAGATGTCATCAAAATGAGCAACATATGTACTATTGGAATTCCAGAGCACAGAAGTGACAGGGAAAAGAAAGTCGTGGAAGAAGTACTAGAAGAAAACTTCCCAGGAATTATGAAGAATTGGGGAAACCACATTCAAGAAGCACAGTGAACACCACATACACTAGACCCAAAAAGACAAACAGCAAGACATAGCATGGTCAAATTTTCCAAATTGAAAGAGAATTAAAATAATACTAAAAGCAGTGTGACAAAAACAATGAGTCACCTACAAAGGGAAAACAGTTTAAGTAGTGATTTCTCAGCATGAGAAACCATGAGAGCTAGAATATGATGGCATATAGAGAAAGTCAAAAGAAAACAATTGCCAGGCATGGAGACATTACCCAGCTAATCTTGCCATCAAATATGAAAGAGAACATGCCAAAAAGTGGGAACGTAAGGTATTTGTGAAAACAAGACAAAAACTACAAGAAATTTTAAGTGAAGTCCTTGAAAAGAAGATGCCCAAAAAAAGTAGATGGATCATAGAAACCAGAAACAACAGATTGAGAAACAAAGCAAAATGGCAACAGTAAAACCAGGCCTGAAAATAACCACACTTAAAGTGAATGGGGAAAATGCAACAATTAAGAGAAAAAGAGGAGTTGAATGGATAAAAACCGAAAGCCCGTATATATGTTGCCTACAAGAAACACATCTAACAAATGGAAAGACAGACTCATAATCAAATGCTGGGGAAAAAAATATAGCAAGCAAATAACAACCTCAAAAAAGCAGGAGTGGTAATAGTAATAATCTCTGATAAAGTAGACATCAGAATGAAAACGACCATAAAAGATAAGGAAGGACTTTACATACTGATTAAAGGCACAATAGATTAAGAAGGCATAAATGTAGACAACATTTATGCAAAATTATGTTGTTGATGTTGTTGGTGGTTGTGTTGTTTTTATGTGCTGTCAAGTCACCTGTGACTCATAATGACCTGATGTAAAACAGCCCTAAACCCTGCCTTGTCCACCACCAGTCTCACTAATTTTGACACACCAACTCCCATTACCACAGTTACTGTATCAATCCATGACACTCAGAGCCTTCCTTTTCTGAGCTGTCACTTCCCCCTTCCAAGCATGATGTCCTTCTCCAAGGACTTGGCCTCTCCTGACAATATGTCCAAACTATGTGAGGGGAAGCTTCAAAATGCTAGCCTTCAAGAAGTAATTTTGTTTCACCCCCTGAAGACAGACTTATTTGTTTCCTTGAAGTCTGTGGTGCTTTCAAGACTCTTCTTCAGCAAAATTTGAAGGCATTAATTCTTCTTCTGTCATCTTGAGTCATTGTCCAGCTCTCTGTACATAGCCAAGTAATTGCCAAGACCATGGCCTGGATTAGACACACATTAGTCTCAAGACTGACATTGTTGCTTTTCAGGACTCTGGAGAAGTCCATTACAACAGATTTTCCTAACACAATTCATCTTTGGATTTCTTGACTGCTGTTGTTAAGTGTGTTGGTTATGGAGCAGCACAAGCTATAATTCTTAACAACCTTAATGTTTTCTCTACCTGTCATGGTGCTGCCAATTGGCCGAGTGGAGAGAATCTTTGTGTTCTTGATGTTGTGCTTCAATTCATATTGAAGACAACAGTCCTTGACCTTCTACAGCAAGTGCTTCAGGTCTTCTTCAGTTTTAGCAAGCAAAGTTGGGTCATTTGCATAATATAGGTGACTGATAAATTTTCCACCAATCCTGATGCCACTTCCTACTCATAAAGCCCTCCTTCCTCAATGATCCATTCTGCATATAGACTTTTGAAAAGGTAAATCAAATTTTGACTCCTCTGGATGTGATGCTATGACCTGTAAAATACATAAAACAAGGGTTAACAGAATTGAAGAAAGAAATCGACAAAATCACAATAGTGATACCAGACTCCAACACACTACTATCACTGTCAAAAGATAGGTCAACTCAAATTAAGTCAACAAAGATGCAGAAGACATAAACTATATAATCAGCTGTTATGACCTTATGGATGTATTCAGGGGCCTTCAGCCAACAAAACTCAATTCACTTTCTTCTCAGGTGCAAATTATACAGTCGTCAGAATCAATCATTTATTATGACATAAAGTAAGGTTCAACATATTTAAAAAACAGTGAAATAATACCATTTTCCTTTTCAGACCAGATATTATAAAGCTAGAAATTAACCAAAGGAAGGTAAAGCTTAGAAAACCATCCAAAAGGGAAATAAATAACTCTCTGCTAGAACATGACTGGGTAATAAAAGAAATAGAGAATGAATAAAAAATGAATTTTAAAAGTTCCTTGGAACAAATATAAATGGAAATATAACATACCAAAACCTCTGAGATGCAGCTAAGGCAGTCATCAAGGGGAAGTTCATAGCAATAGGCCCAGACA